CAGGCCTCAGGAAGTGGCTGGGGTCTCGGGCAGATGGAAATGGGGCCAGGGTGTGAAGATTGCAGGGTCCGCTGCTGAGGGGTCTTGGTGAATGGGGGGCCTTCCTGCAGGAGCTCTGCCTGCTGGCCGGCAACTGGGGCTGAGTTGGGCAGGTGTCCAAATTCTTATAATATAAATAACTAGTAGGTTTAAAGTTGAGACAGTAGTTCATATCTATAATTGTAACACTGGAAAGCCTAAAGCAGTGGTTCTCAACCTGTGGGTCGAAACCCCTTTGTGTGTAGGAATGTGATCCTTCTACAGGAGTTGCCGAAGACCATCAGAAAACGCAGACATAGCCGGGCGGTGGTGGCGCACGCCTTTAATCCCAGCACTCGGGAGGCAGAGCCAGGTGGATCTCTGTGAGTTCGAGGCCAGCCTGGGCTACCAAGTGAGTCCCAGGAAAGGCGCAAAGCTACACAGAGAAACCCTGTCTCAAAAAAAAAAAAAAGAAAAGAAAACGCAGACATTTACATTATGAACCATAACAGTAGCAAAATTGCAGTTATGAAGTAGCAACAAAAATAATTTTACAGTTGTGGGGGTCACCACAACATGAGGAACTGTATTAAAGGGTTGCAGCATTAGGAAGGTTGAGAACCACTGATCTAAAATATGGAGAGCCTGAGGCCTGAGTGGTACATAGAGAGATCCTTCTTAACAATAAAAAACAGAAAAAAAAAAAACCCCACACTTTAGGGGCTTAAGAGATGGTTCAATCAGCAAGTCATAGGCACACCACTGCACCACCTTCTGGGAGTCACAATCATCAGTTAGTGATGAATATTGCTTCTCCCAAGGACCTGAATTTGGTGAACAAAAAAGCAGAGTGGAGCTGGACATTGTATTCAAGTTTACAGAACAGGGATTCTAAGACACGTACTGGCTTTTTACCTTTCTTTCCTTCTGTATGTATTACTTTCCTGCTTTTTCCATGTTGGTCTGTCTGTCTGGCCCCTGGCATCTCCCTCTCTTTCTCCTTCTTCCTCCCCCTCTTATCCTCCTATTTGTTCTCTCTGCCTGCCAGCCCCACCTGTCCTCCTGCCTAGCTACTGGCTGTTCAACTCTTTATTAGACCAATCAGGTGCGTTGGCAAGCAACACGTCTTTACATCATTAAACAGAGACAACATAACAAATGTAACATTTTTTACCGAGTTAAAGTAATATTCCACAACACAAGGCAATGTCTTCCTCTTGAAAAACCTCATCTAGGGATCATCTAGCGACTTTCAGTGTCAGTCCCAAGCTGTTGTGAAGAAAAACAACAGGGAATCTACAGTGGGTTATCGACACACACAACTATAGTGATCCAAGCAAACGTTAAGGACATGTACCTCACTTCTCGTGATGCCATGCACAGCCAGGAGCTCACCGGTCACAGCTTCTCAACGAACTTCCCATTCAGGAGACACATCCCAGTCTCTCACAGTCACAGCCCTCTTTCCCCAACCCTCTGTTTTCCCCTCTTTCTTCTCCCCCTCTCTTTCAACCCCCATGCATACAGGCACGCATGCTCCCATACATTCCCTACCAGGCACAGACCTCACAAAGTCTCTGCAAGCATTCCCCAATGCAGATGTAACAACTCTGCTCCAACTCTGCTACACTAGGCAGAAGAGCTCTGTTCAGGTCCCTAGGAGTGTAAGAACTCTGCTCCCCTAGGGGAAAGTGCTCTTGTCGTGAGTGCCCCTCAACAAGACCACCAAGGAGCTGATTTCTGATGCAAAAGCAAAAGGTTTCTTTATTCAAGCCAAGTCTGGGCAGGGACTTCATCCAACACTCCATTGCAGCGAGTGAGAAAGGAAACCCCAAGCATTCATTACAAGGGGTTTATATAGGAAAAGTTTACATGCAGTGGGTTACATATCTTAGGATTGAGTGAGGGAGCTAGGGATAAGGTAGTTCTTTGAAGTTACAGGCTGAACTGTAGGCATGAAACTACTAATGGCTGACAGGATGCAGGGTATCTACAAAGACAATTTTTTTTTTCTCCCTACATCCTGTTTGCTGAATTCCAGATATATACATTTAGATTTATTGTTCCAGCCCTGTTTTCACATGAGTTCAATCTCTGGTCAGCAGATACCTTCAGATGGAGGCCAACTCTCAAGAGGGCTACTGATTTTTTCCCCTTCAAAAGATTCCCCAGGGAAAGCGTTACAGTTCTGCTCTGCTTTGGCCAAAGTTGTTGCTGCTGGGCTCTTCTCTGGGGGTAATGTCACACCACATAACAAACCTCACTCAAGAGATTTATTGGGAAGTCAGAATCTAGGAGGTGGCTGCCTAGGGTGGGAAGCAGCAGCAAACTGAACAGGGTAAGAGCTTTTATAGGGTTTCTTGGGCAAGCTCGGGGATTGGTGGGATTTTTAAGCCCTGGTCCTGGAGTCAAGTGAGGGTTAGGATGTTTTTTCTTGACCCGGGTCTCAGGTCTCCTCAGGGTCAGGGTGTTTTTCCTTGGCCTTTTTTTTCCTACATTCACTCATTCTTGCCTGCCACATATCTGCCCTAAGCAGGTTCATGGAGAATTCCCCCAGGGCAGATGTCTAAAGAGAGCATGTGCCTGAGGGTCCCAGGAGGTTCAGAAAAGTCCAGTGATCCTAGACATCTAAGAAACAGAATCTGATTTCCAGCTGCCAGTAGGTCTTGTGAATAAGATTCCTCTCAGCTTAGGGAGTGATCTGGTCATACAGACCAGTGCCCTGGACTAGATCTTATCTCTTTTGGCGGAGTGGCTGCTCTAGTGTCCCCAGGGGTGGCTTTAGTTTTAATTTTTCTAGTAGCTTTTTTTTTTATTTTTTAATGTTGTCTCATGTTTTAACTCAGGCTACCTAGGCTGGCCTCCAACCTGGGGCAATACTCCAACATATCCTCCCAGTCAATAGGGTCATGGGAGTAGGCCATTACGCCTCACTTCTTGTCTTTGGAGGTGCTGGGGGTTGAAACTACAGTGGTCATGTTCTCTACTGCTGAGCACATCCCTAATTCCTACTCCTTATTTCCCTGGGGTTGTAGGAATGGCACACAAGTGCCCACCATTACGATTTCAGTATTACACTAGATTCCTAGGACCACCAGAAAGAGGTACAGTTATTAAAACACTTAAAAGTCATTATTTTTAGATATGATACGAATTAGATGTTATTATAGTCATAGAACAGCTCCCATTCCAAAATTTAAGTTGGATGTCAGGCCTGTAATAGAAACGATGGGAATAGTGAGGCAGAAAGACAGCAACATCAAGGCCAGCCTGGGCTGCAGATCCTGCCTCACAAAGCAAGAGAAAAAAATAAAAATAGGTAAAATGAGGCCGGGCGTTGGTGGCGCACGCCTTTAATCCCAGCACTCGGGAGGCAGAGCCAGGCGGATCTCTGTGAGTTCGAGGCCAGCCTGGGCTA